ATTTCATTTAGGATGGTAGACACTTGGGTATTCCAAGTACTTTTAATTTAAAATGTTAACAATAAAAAAAGAAGCAATCTCCAGTTCTAGAAACTTCTCTCATATCACCCAGAAAGAGCATCATTTCAGAGTTCCTGCTGTTTTGGTTGCTGTCATCGGTTGTTTTTGGAGGGCACATCTGAAAGCCTATTTGGGACAGAAAGGGTGGTGCTCTTGTTTAAAATGCCCCTGATTCCTGGGGCTGTCAGCAGGGCTTGTTGTCTGGGATGAGGATGTGGTTTAAGCTGCAGTAGGCAGTGGGCAGGGAGACTCTGGCCTCAGTTTTAGGAGCCAGTCTCTTTTTGCTCCGCTCAAGGGCGGTCTTTGGGGGCATGTAAGGACACTGATGTCTTTACCTTCTTAACTCCTAAAACATAAACCTTTTCTCAGAAACAACAAACAGAATATTGTGACCAAACTGTGGCAAGAGCTCAATCACGCTGCGGATCTGTGTGTATAGAATGCAGCGGAACCTTCTAGAGTGTGGCACAAATCACCGTGTAATGACCTATCTGTTCTTGTTTCTGGTTCTTTGCCATCATCTGTGTTTCAGATCTGAAGATATGAGCAAAAACCCAAAGGTGTTCAGAGTAATAGAGGAAGGCCAGTTAGCATCATCCTTTTTTGCCCTTTGGGAGAGTATCCCAGTAAAACAAGCTCCCCGATGCTGGAAAATGCTGGTCACTGTTGTGCCTGATCCAAGTGAGAGAAAGGTCAGGGTGGCTTCTGAGTTGGCCCCAGGGAAACCTTCACAGGGGCCAGAAGGAACATGGAAACCACGAACAGTCTGTGCACCGATGAAGATCTGTGATTGCTGCTGATTAGAAGTGTGGTTAAAAAAAAATGGACTAGGAAACCTAGCTCCTTCTTGGAGCTCCACTTTCTAGCTGTGTGAGCCCCAGGGAGCCCTCTTTGGTCCTCAGTTTTGGCAGCCACAGAAGGAGGTGGTTGGAGCCCATGCTAGACAGTCTAGCCAATAATCCTGGTAGACCAGATACACAGTGATGACGTTTACAGTATGTTCCATCTCCCTGAACTTAGCTTTTTGATTTGAAAAATGAAATGCAGTTAAAACCATTTCCATTTACAGAAGAGTAAATGATAATAGTTCCCCTTGACATAAACTGTTTAATAAATCAAAGGGGACTAAATTTAGTTTATACACAGACACAAGACTCTAACACTAGCTCAAATGTGTACACATGTGAACAAATATAAATGTCCGAGTCTTACTGCTGAGGGTACTCTGCAGCAAAAGTAAAAAACAGGGCATTTTTCCAGTAATGGAGTATTTTATTATGGCCAGGGTGTACCTTTAAGTTTTTCTTTAGGCACCTGGCAAAAGCCAAGAAAGGTCGAGGAAAGCATTACTTGTAGCAATGGTCCTTTTGGAATGAGTGGAAGTTGGATTCTTTTTGAAATTCTGCTGAAGGTCTTGCATAATTTAGCCTAAGATTTGATGAGCAATTTTTGAGAATGACTGGAAATATGATGACTAGGATACCCTCCCCAATGCCTCCCCCATCTTTTTGTTATAAATAAGACAATAAACTGCTTTGTGAGACTTCCATAACACTATCCTGTGAAATTCAAATGACTATTTCCAGATCTGAAAAGAATCCATAAATTATCCTGGAGGGACTGGGCCATCTACGAAGTGGGATCATTAGGAAGGGGAGGACACTACACTGAGCAGTTAGTTCCTCAGGGGCTCTTTGCTCTTGTTCCCTTCACTCCAGGGTACCTGTGCAGGATGGGGAGTAAGGGCTGCCCAAAGCATCACAATGGGCTTGGTTCAGTGTCTCAATCCACATCTATCTGCAGGTCAGGATCCTTGAGGGGGTGAGGGGGACTTTAAAAATTAGATGCTGAGGTTCTATCCAGACATGGTAGACCAGACGGAAACACCTACGAAGCTTCCTGAATGATTCTTGTGCACAAGGCTGGGAACCACCGCTTCTAGAAAACAGAGCTCTCACTTTGCATCAAGTTGTGTTCTATGAGGAACCAAGTGGTACAAGCACTTCCTACCAGTCCAGGGCTTTAAAAGGCCACATTAGTTCAGGCTCTTCCTGGTTCCTGGGAAGGAACCTGGACCCTTTTTGAGGTCCCCGAAATGTCTTCTAAGTTACGGACTCAACTTCCATTTGTGAAATGGACCAACGGATGATTTTTAGGTAGCTCGACTGTCCAGTATGTTGGAAGTTCCCCGGTGCCCAGAGCATGGGACTCGCCAAAGACGCTGGTGGAGACCATCTGGCCAGGCCATTGAAATGTGACGGTTGGAGAGGTGAAACAGGGCCATCAATGGGGCCTCACCCACACCAACAGGGGCTGGTATTACCTTTTATCTACCACTTACTCAAAAAGACAAACACTCAAAGTCAGCCTCTTGCTCATGAGGGCTGGGGATTCCCTACTGACTTTACGTAAACACATTTGTAAATTTCCCCGGAGTGGTACTGGCTACCATTTTGGATACATAATTAAGTTTTGGTTAAAAAAAAAAAAAAGGCTTTTGAGCAACTCTGATAAAACAGAACACAAGCCATCTTTTGTGAGATGCCAGGATAAACTTTATTTTCCTAGAAACTATAATGAAAACGAAAGAAACATGCACCTAAGTGCTGTGTTTCTACTTTGTTAAATCATCACAGTAAATCAGAATGAAAGAGAGGAGGAGGGTAGACTGGAGAGTCGAGCGGCAGTCATCAGCGGAGCTGTGTGCTTTTCCGGGTAGGCACTCGCCTGCAAGGGCGGACTGTATGAAGGGGTCCAGCCCACCGAAGCCTAAACCCAGATGTGGGACATGAGGCAAATTAAATAAGAGAGAGCAAAATAAAAAGCAAATGACATCCTATAACTTAATTCCCCATATTTATCGGTTTCTCTTTCTTATTTACATAAACTAAATGTTGTCGACCTGAACCCATAAGAAAACATTCACTTAATGTGTATATCATACACAGGTACTGAGTGCAGCTAGAACAGTGGTTGTTTCATGTTGAATTTCCCTCCAGTAGATACAGACATGACGCAGTCACATGTGAGAGGTCACAGTAAGTTGAGAAGGATCTCTCCAGCTTCCAGATGATACAGATGGACCTGGAAGGGAAGCGCAGGCTGCCACACTGGGAGGAAGGTCAGGAAGATGTGATTTGCATGGTCTGCGGAGCCGAGTGATCTCTTGTTCAGAAGGCTGGGGGTCCCGTCCGTCAGCCCCTCTTGTGAAGGCAAGACTTGCCTCCCCTTCCTCCCTTGGCTTTTAGCAAACTGCAGCCGTCACTGCGTGACGACACCATGACAGTCACTTGCCCAAGCGAAATTTCCTTCCTACCGTCTACTACTTCAGATTTTACTATTTTTAAGAAGTCATTGTTTTGTTTTTTTAAAGTACAAAAACCTTCTTAGTAAGGCTATGGGACATCAGCTTTGCTTTGGACGGAAATCAGTGTGTGCAGAGATCAGTGTGAAGAGAAGTAGGGGGACAGGCTTGGCCCTGCCCAAGATCCAGCAAATCTTACCCATTTTGGGCTGATTAGGGCCACTTTTGCTCACAGATGGCTGACCTACTAATGTGACGAGTCAGCACTGGGACTCAGGTGGGTCCCCGCCGGATGAGTGGCCCTCCATAATTTTGCTGGAAAGGCATTTATTGCAAAAAGCACAATATTTGCTTTTCTAAGTGAAGAAAAAAAAAAAAAGAACTTGATCATCTCAATTTTCCACCCCAAATAACAAAAATGATTCAGGTCCACGTGATTATAAGCAAACCTGGCTGCTAGGTTTCCTGTTTCCCTATTCCACACCGATGCTGCCGCTGACAGCAATGGGCTCAGAAGCAGCTCCAGTCCCCAAAACGCGGGTCTTAGGGATGTTAAAATCAGTAGGAATGACAGGAAAGGTCTAGGTATTTGCTGCCTACGACTTAATTTCCCATTTGCAGGTTAGGAGGACTGGTTCTGGGAGATAAAATGGAATCATGGAGCAGCAAAGTTCAGTGTGACTTCTGCCACAGGGGATTTCTAGAGCCTGGAAATGAAATGTCCTCCTGGAAGCTACTGGCTGTCAGAGCCTGCCTGGGACTCTGGAGCCCAGGTACTGGTGATGTGCACCCCTACAGGAATGAGGTCTGGGCACTTTGTAAATATCCAGTGGAGCAACTCAACACAAGTCTGGAGTCTGAGCGACAGTGGACAAACCGTGAGGACCCGAAAGTCCAAATTATTAAAAAGATGGGGGTGGGCGGCTGGGGCAGGGGCAGGGAAGAGAAGAATCATGGCATTTGCTGACACAACAGAAACTGCTGTGACATTTGCGGCTTCATGCCACGAAGCCCCCAGTGAGCCAACCAACTGGGCCCAGTTACCAAACAGCCCAAAGTGACTAAGGCTTACTTCTATTTCTTTCAGGTTCGGGTAACCCCCAAGCCACTCTGTGAGCCTGGGCCTCACGCCCTACCTGCAGTCCTCTCTAAAGCTGACAAGCAAATTCTCTCTAGACTTAGAAGGTCTATCCTTCCCTAGGAGTTTCTCGATCCTTCCTCAATTACCCCGTAAGCAAGACTGGCTCCTGGGTCTGCTTGTTTCTCCAGCAAGGATCAGGTACCAGCCAAACCAACGCAATGGCAGATGGAAAGAAGTGACTGGTCAGTGAAAACAGCCACTCTGATGGACTGAGAGGGCTCAGTGGACTCACCAGGAAGGGGACCAAAGCTGCCAGGGGGACACATAAGTGGGCACAGAGCAGAGAGGCAGAGAGTTAAGGGAGGCAGGGAAGCACCCTTTCAGGGACCGATCTTTCTTGGGTTCCTAGCGCCTGTGTTCTATGTGCTCCCCACCCATCCCTTCTGGAGATGGGCTGCAGGCCTAGGTGAGAGGCAGAGGGCCAGAGAGCTCTTCCTAACTGATGTTTCTGTCACTGACACCCTCAGACCCCCAGCAAGGATGCTGGCCAAGTTTGGGCTTTTCATTTCTTCTTCTTCTTTTTAAACAGATTCAACATGCCTTTCTTGGAACCAAAGGGTTAGAAAGCCCCCATTTGTGCCATGGCCCTCCCCCAGCAGTGGGCAGGAGAGCACAACTGCAGGGCAAAGCTTCTGGAGGCAGAGGGACATCACAGGGGTGCGGGGGACTGTCTCAGTCTAGCTCCTGTGCTGGTGTGCTCCTTGCGTGTTGATGTGGGGCTGTGCTGAGCTGGGCCCTGGAAGCTTCCTGACCTACAGGAGCTTTCACAGGGACAGGACCCTGTTTCCTCCAGGATAGTTGGAAAAACCTCTTCCCAGCTAGTGGGCATCAGGCACCAGGTGGAAAATACTCAGCAACTTAGATAAAACTTCTCCTGGGCAAAAGACCCTGGGGAAAGCCAATTTCCATGATGATGAAATTTTTGAGTAAACCATAAATCCTAACATTAAGACCTAGTGAAATCAATGCAGAGAAAATTCCTCAGTTTAAGAGCTGTTTTGCCAGCCCTTCTGTGAATCTTGCTTGGGTTTATAAACAACTCAGGGTACAGAAACCAGTTGTTCTCCACCCCTTCCCAAAAGCCCAGAATCTTCTCCTGTCATTCCAGCCGGGAGCAGTGGCATCAATGCCCACGAGAGTGGGTCTGTCTCTGGTTGTTGGCGACCTTCCCCTCTTCTTTGGAAGCTCAAGTTTCGTGAGGTTCTAGGGCAAGACGACACGGCCCGGTGAGAAAGTCCAGCCCGCGACATTCTGGTGGGGTTCCCCTTTAGCTTCGGAAGTCCGTTAATGGGAAGATGTGTCGAGGACACCGGCAGAGCAGTCATGTTTCCTGGAGTCTCTGTGTTTGGGGGTTCGGGGTGGGGGAAGGGGGCGTCTCATTGATCTCCTCCTTGCCAAGAGGCGCCATGAGGTAGGCACTCAGGCTGGCGGCCAGGGCCCTGCAAGGGAAGCAGAGAAAAGCCAAGTCACGGCACTAGGAGAGGCCCTGGGGGCACAGATCCAAGAAGAACCTGTGGTCCTCAGGACACATGGCACCACTTCCTCAGAAAGGCTTTGATGACCTCCCTTTGTCACTGGGGCAGAGATGTTTGCTGAGTGAATCAACACGTGAATGTCTGTCCTCCGGGTCTTTGCTCTGGACTCTCGGGCAGCAGAACCAAGCTATGAGTCTTCCTGAAATTCACCCGGCCTCACCATCCCACCCACAAGCGAAGAATGAAGAGAAAAAGCCCCTCACTGCAGTAAGGGGAAGAGGAGCCAGGGAGGCAGCAGCATGGCCCAGACAGAGTCCATGAAGAAGCCAGGAAGTTGTCGGACAGCTTAGGGATCCCTGCCTGTGTTATTATTTATGCACATTTACATATTGATATTCACCTGATGAGTTACAACTGGATTCTTCCCCAAAGGGTCTGAGAGAGAGGGCTCAGGACTAAATTGCTTGCCAGAATGAGACCAGATGAGCATAGCGCTATGTAACACTAGAGGGAAGAGGAGTAGAATCCAAGCGTGCATGTCTGCACCTCTCCCCCTCCCCAGGGCCGCTGCGAGGGTGCTCAGAGGAATCCAGGAAAGCCTGCTGCAACACCCAGCCCCAGTTGCTGCTACAGTCTGGTCTCCCCCGGGGCCAGGCTGTGAGGGAGAGGCTCTGTTTCATCACCCCTCTTCCCCCGCAAGCTATTTTTAAGCTGGCTGTGTTATACCCCAAGCTTCCGGGCTCCAAACAAACCCCAGAAGCAGGCTTTCTGTCCTCCTCCCAGCATGCTTCACTTCCAGGGGTTTGGCCTTTGAAATTTTTATTATTATTGGCATTTGTGATTAATTGATGTAAGTTGTCTTATTCACAGACAACATCTTTTCTCATTTTCTGACCTTACCTTATTGTTTCTAGGAAGAGCCTCTGAAATCAATACCCACAAACATGCTTGGGCCTGAGGAGATGGCCTTCCCCAGTGGGTTCCCAATTCCAGCGCCTTAAGGTGCGCCCACCATTGGGGGGGACGGCTCTACCATCTCTTGACTGCTGGTCTGGTCCCTGTAAGGCCGGGAAGAGAGAGGAAATGCCTGGGGCTCTCTCCTGGGGTTCTCATCTTTTAAAAAACAGGCTGCTTTTGACAAAGGCAGTACAGCTATACTGACCTCTATGACGGAGACGGCATTGGTAAAAGGTCTCTTTCTCTCTCAGTCCCCTCGGGGCTGGACACAGGGGTGAACAAACCTGATTCAATCCTAGATGATGTTCCATTCTGAAACACTTTCACTTTGAATTGTCTAAGATTTCGCATTCCTCACTAGGAACCACTCTACCCAGTATTGTAATCAGATCGATTGGGAAAGAGGGAAGGAAAAAAAAAAAAAAAGCTAGCAAATAAAAGAGATGAAATGATGTTCAAAGCTATGATATTAAGTGAAAGAGTAATTGTAGATGGGAAGGAAATATCGAACACCCCCAGTTGGGGAGGGCAAAGGGGGGTGTTGCATGCTGCTTTCCAGCAGTGGGGCAGGACGGCAGGCAGACAGAGGGACAGCAGGTGGACAGAGGGACGGCAGGCAGGCAGCGGACTTTGAGAAATGCATGAAGTTCTGCAAAATGAACCCCCGCGCCCCCCGCGCAAAGAAAGCCGAGGGCCCCGTGGCTGGGGGTAAAAGGACTGCCCCCCCATCCCCAGCCGGAGCCTGCGTGGCAGTACCCCTGCATTCCTCCAGTCCCCTACTTCCCACTCTGGCACATCCCCAGCCTATGATGGCTCCTGCCGTGCCCACTGCACCCCGTGATTGATGGGGAGGCGGCAGCTGGGGAATGGGCCGGCGGGCCACAAAGGAGATAATTCCACTCGCAAGCTGCCGGCAGCCGCTCCACTCTGTTTGGCCCTTTCCTGCTGCTGGAAGCCGGGGGTCTGTTCAAAGGGCACTCAAGCCCCACTTGGCTGCTCTGTAGTAGGAGCGGGAGAGGACGCATGCATATGGAGGCCCCCACTCTAGAGAGCACTGGATAGCCCCGCTCTCCTCCACCCACCACGAGCACTGGGGTCGGTGGGGGCACATTGCCTCTGGGAGCTCAAGCCAGCGGGCCTGGTTTGGAACAGTTCTGGGACTGAGCCAAAGCTGTAGCTGAGGGCACAAGAAAGGGCTGCTGGGCCGCAGGGGCCGCTCATGTGCCCTGCAGGTGGAGGAGGGTGATACTGTGGATGAGCCCACAAGTCTAGATGCTAACATTCCACCTGCGTAGCTCCTGAGACGGTGATGGGCATCTGTGCCATGCGTTCCTCTGTGGTGACACAGTTAATAAATGACAGCTCACTGGTGTCCTCCCGTATTATTGTGAACATCATCACCATCTGGTCTCCCTTCCACCTGTGAGCCCACGAGTCGGTGCAGCCCCAACTGCCTCCGGCCGGCACTGCCACAAGGTGGCACCGGGACGGGCCTGGACCTCGGAGCCAGGGCAGAAAGGAGAAGCCCACGGAGGTCACACCTGCTGCCGCCAGCCTGCCCTCTGGGTCCTCAACTGCAGCCCATCCCCGGGTTCTCCACCCTCTGTGTTCCCCCAGCTTTTGTCTTCTTCCTCCCCCAGCTGTTCCATTCAACAGCCCCCCAGACAACCTGCCCTCCCTGCACGGAGGCCTCGGAGGCGCCCATTAAGGCAAGCGGTCAAAGGCCGGCGCAGCACGTGCCACATCTTATCGGCCCATCTCAACATCCTGCTCCTCCTGGCTTGGGCAACAAAAAAGGGGGCGGCCCCGGGTCCACGAGCTCCCCGTGGCCCCGCACACAAAAGGGCGGGTGACAAAGACATTTTCTGGGATGGCAGGTGTTGGTGTCGGATTCCCCACAGAGCGCACGGGCAGAAGAAAGGCGAGGCTGGGTTTCCCCGGGCAGCACAGACATGCAGGGGCAGGAGTGTGGGCAGGGCCCCTCGGGAGGGAAGGTGGGAGGCAGCAGGCACTCGAGGGGACATTTCAGCACGGGGTTAGCCCTGGATGGAGGCGGGTTAGTGAATTCATGCACCCCTCCCCGAGAGCACGGTGGCTGGGCAAATCCCGAGCCTCAGTCTTACCTTGCTCAAACATCGCAATGAGACCTTTACATATTTTAATCTGAAAGGAGAGAACATGAAATCAAATGAATACAAGCCCAGTACACCCACAGCCCAACCTGATAATGAACACAGTGCTAATAATACATTTATTCCTGTGCTGCTTGGGTGTTGTCACAGCTTTGGAGATCATTACGAATTGAAAAGTCACTTAAAATTCTCCTTGGCAGGACAGAATTCTAGCTGCCATCACATTTATAGATGTGAAATGAGAGAGACAATAGCGTTCCTAGGATGTGTTTTGTAGATGCTGCTGGGAGCTCCTTGGGCACCAGGCGGCACTGACCATAGGCCCCTTTTCCTGTCACCCCTTATCTGCAGACTGATTTGGTCGAAAATACATCAAAAATAAGAATGTTCAAGAGGAGCATTTGGAATTCAATGGGTGACCTGAAAAAAATACTTGCCAGGCTCTAAGTGTGCAAGTTTATGTGCCTCTTCATTTCATTTCACAGGTTTCTGAGGTGTACACAGTGTGTTAATTCAGTACTAGTGTCAACGGTGATGTGACAGTCCCCAGGGAGGAAGCACGCAGCCTGCTGCATAGCAGGCAGCTGGGAAGGGGGCCCTGCTGTGGTGAGATCGGACTGCAAGCTCACCCTCCCGCCCAGAGCAGGAGGATCTCAGTAGTCAAGCTGACCCCGAGACAGGATCTGAGTTTTATGGACTTGGTGACAGGTTTTCTTAATTTCCCCCACCCCTCCCATAGACAGTGTATTTCCTAGTGGGTTTCCCTTAGCAAGTCCTCAGCCTCATTCTCTACCAGGCGTAGCTTCTCACCCCAACCCCCATGCCACTCCTGAATTCAGTGTCACTAGACCATCATCAAATCTGGACAAAGGACATTCATCAGTGACACGGACTGCTGTCTGCTCAGCCGCAGTTGTAAACTTGGATTGTCTGTTGATCCTGCCTGCCAAGGTTGGCACAGGGAGCAGGGCCAGTTTCTAAGACGGTGATTCAGAAGGCTGTCAGAAGGACCACTGACATACTGTTAAGTGGGGTTCTCCAGAAGAAATGTGCACCTCTACAATCTGTTGAAAATTCATCCCCTCTGCAGAACTATTTGGGGTCAGGAATTTCAGGATAAATATCCTGTTCCTTCTCTATACGTTGATAGTGCTCTAGCCCAGAGGAAGTGCTTGCGACTGGCTGATTGCTGGTAAAAGACTAGAATGTTTTCCATGGATCCTGGATAACACGATGATCTTGATTTCCTGCTTCCTCCCAATGCACTGTGCTGTGCACAGTGTGGCACCCATTTCTGTGCATGGAAAATGGCAGGCGTACAACATCTCTCCGCAGGTCTCTCTTCCTTCAGTTGGGGAGGCCCAGCTTTTCAGGGTAGCCCCATGCTACCTACCCTCTCCAGTGTAAGCAAAGGGTCTCTTCATGAAGGGACTCCTTGGCCTCCCTCCGCTGCAGCCTCTTCAGCGCTGGTTATGCTGGGCGTACCAAGAAAGCAGATGGCGCAGCTAACAATGGATGACTTGTTTGTAATTGCTGATGAGGACTGGTTTGCTCCTCTCCCCAGTGCGTCCCCAGATGCAGCCTGGTGTGGTGTGCTGGACCAAACAGAATGTCTCAGTAACTGCCAGTCCATGGGTGAGTTAAGGAGATGCAAAGACAGAGACAGTTGGGGGCTGCCTTAATTATTCCGTGGGGCTCAAATGTCACTTGCCCTTGACATACAGGCAGTGCTACTGAAGGGCGGGGGCCTGCACTTGGAACAGAGGAGTAGGCTGTCAGCTTCCTGATATGTCCCTGGGGGTGAGCGTGAGGTACCAGCTAGCCTGGGCAGCACTGGAAGGCACCAGAAGAGAGCACACGGGGCGTGGAGAGGAGGGACGGGAAGAAAACAGGAGGCGCGTGATGCTTAGGGGGATGTGGGAGAGATACAGAGCATAATTACTTCATCTTTTCATCAACTGGGCACCTAAGATGTGCCGGGTTCTGTTCCAGGCTCTTGGTTACAGCCATGAACAAAGCAGATGAAGCTCCTGCCTGTGGGGAGCTTTGGTGGCTGAGCTGTGGCCTGCATTCTAGCAGAGTGGTATCACCCCTTGGGTGGGCGGCAAGATCTTATTTTTTATATGCTGAAAGCCCAGATATATGTATGGCCATTAAACAAACACCTGGGATTTCTGGTATTTTGGGAGGAGGAGAAAAAGGAGGAAATCCAAATGTCTTGGGGACCTCTGCAGTGGGGACTGGAGCCACACTGGGTGGGAGAGACTCTGTTCGCGTCTAAAAGCAGGGGAGTGGGGCCCCTCTGTAGAGAAGCCTCTGTGTGTCAGGACACACCAAGGGGCTAAAATGCAGGCGCTTGGTGGCTCTGAGTGGAGAATCCAGATGCCACTCGTAGAGAAAGATGTCCTGTTTCATGGGCCTCTTGCAGCTTCTTGGCTACTCTGGATATCAACGAGGATTTGCTACAACACAGGAAACAATAGTCTTGATTGGAGATGAGCTGTGTTCCACACAGCTCTGCCTTGTGGTCTTTTTGTGGCTTGTGTTCTCGGGCAGGCCTCACCGGGAGAGCAGAAGAGCAAGGATTTGAATGGAGCTTCTCATCTCCGAGGAAAGGCTGCCATCCGGGACCACCACCTGGGATGACAGTGGGCAGAGTCGGACAGGAAAAGTGGCTGCTTCTCTTGGGTCCTTGTTACTGAACAGTCAGTGTGGAAAATGATGAACTGGTTCAAGATAATTAGGGAAGGGACTGATTTTGTGAGCTGGCATGGCTGAGGGAGAGAGACAGTGGACCGCGGTTCCAGCTTCAGACGCACGCTAAGTATCCTCCCAGCAGGAAGGTGGACAGAGCAGGAGATCAGAGAGCTGTCTGGGCTATTCAGACCCCTTGGAATGGCTCTGAGGAAGGGAACAGGTGCAGCCGTGGATGGGGTAAGCCTGCCTACACGCTCAACTCAACACTGGCAACTCAAGACCAGTGGGAATTAGCCAGCTTAATTAACATTTCCAAATGGCCCAAGGATGGCTTCCAGTATTTCCAACCCAGCAGCAGTGGCTGTGTCCTGGCCCTGGCCCTGGCTCTGGCTCTGGGCTTCCTCTTTTTGGTCGCTGGTCTTGCCCATCAACTTTGGTTCCGAATCAGAAAGCTGGGACAGCTGGACCAAAAGGCAGGCAGGCAGAGAGTGCAGGTCCTGTGTGTCTGCACGGGCATACACACCTGTGCATGGGCTTAGCAAGCAGGTGGGATGCCCATGGAGTTCTCTAGCACTCTTCTCTTTTCTTCCACAGCTATAATGTACTTATATGGCTCCATCGTTAAACTGAACTAAATTATACATTTAAGATTAATATCTTGGTTTCAGCTTTTCTTGTCAGGCCCTTGCAGAGACAGAGGTTTCTAGACCATCTTGCTATCTCACAGAACATGAATACAAAGATCTCGGTTACATCTTAGCCATGATAGGGCTATTCACTGTACCAGACTGAATTCACATCTCAGAAAGTGGCAAAACAGTACCTGCAGTTTATAGCAGCAATATTCCTAACAGCCAAAAAGAAGGAATAGTCAAATGACCATCAACCGATGAAAGGATTTACATGGATGAATTATATGGTAGGTGAATTATATCTCAATAATGCAGTTTGGAAAAAATGGCAAAAAGGAACAGAAGGTGATCTGGGCAGCAGCCCTGTCACTTCCTTTCCCAAAGTGATACAACAGAAGTGGCTACAAGTTTTGGAAGAATCAGGTTCTCCTCCCACCCCGTGGATGCCCAGGGAGGCAGGGGGACAGGGTCACCTAGCGGATGCCAGCACCAACTCTCCTCCTGTGTTACACCACAAACTCTCAACCAACTGTCCTCAGAGCAAAGAAAATGGGGCTGTCCCTCAGACCACATACTACTCTTTCCTTTGAGGTTGTCTCGGGTTAATCCTAACTTAAGTTTATCCATCCCCTAAACACCCAGGAGTGGCCTGGGGTGGCGAGGTAGGACTACAGTGTAATTCTCCTCAGGACACGCTAGGATTCTGTGTGCAGCTCGGGACAACTTTTTACATTCTCTAATAATCAGCTGTTCAGGAAAACTTAGCAGTGTTGTCTGCGGTGACTTGAGGGAAGACAGGGAGGTCCAGGTATCTGTCTGAGGTGTCTGAGGAAACATCAAAGAACAATGGGACTGTCTGGTTGTTAAACTGACGAAAGCCACCCTGTTGTCTTCAGACAGGAAGGCAGCAGTTTTATTCCATAATTAAGATGTTTTCTATATGTGAATTCTTTCTGTGGTGTTTCATTTGCCTCCTAAGGTAGGCAACACTTTGGTAACTTTCAATTACATTTCTCAGTTATCTGTGTCGAAGTGGCTGTGTATTTGCCACTGGACACACTGGAGAGGTCAGAAGTCCTATAAAATAGTCCTTTTGGCCTTTTGGGAGGAGCATTTTGCCTTTGCCACAAAAGAAGGGCTCCCCCCCGCCACAAGCAGGCCCCAAAAAGCAGGGGGCCTCTCCGGGCGGGCAAAGAGTCTCATTTGGCCAAGCCCCTGAGCCCTGGTCTCGACATGACCAGCCTCTTGATAATGAAAAAAACCAACACTCCTCAGTTCCCAAACTGCCAAAGAGATGAATCTTGCTCTGTGGAAGGCAGACTGTGGAGGAGAGTGTGCAGTAATGAGATTTCTACATACAGGTAAAGAGCCTTTACTACTCATCGATTGTTCTAGAGACTGTTTTTTCTCAGAGCAAAACAATGCCAAGGAATCTTCTCTCTTGTATCCTAGATCTTATGGCTCAATGCAAGTCCTTTTATGTGTCTTCTGTGCACCGGGGATGGCTATCTACCATGATTCTCCATGCTAGCCCACGGGTTCCTGACCACTGGATTCTGGTGTGAGTCTGGCGGAGGGGAGTCTTAAGCAGGTGGGGGACAAACGACCGCAGGTCCAAGGGCTGCCCCATCCCCTTTTCACTTTCTTCCTCCCACCATGCAAATCTTCCCCTACAAGAGGTGGGTGTCACCATGCTCCCCTC